TGTTAACTGCCACTTAGTTACAAGTGAATGAGGGAATGTTACATCCTAGACTTTGCTTAAGCTTAAATAACTGCCATCCTTGCCTTGTAGATCTTTATTTTTCTTTTCACTTTCTCTTCTTTTGTCCTCATATCTACTCCTCCTCCTCTATTTTTCTAATCTCACGAATCTCACTTTAGTCCATCCCCTCCCTTTTCCTTTCTCTAAATTCTCTTTTTCTACTTATTGTTCTCTCATTTTCTCCTTGTACTCCTCTTTCACGGAACCATAAAACATTAGAATCAGAATTGGCCTTAGAGATTTTGTCGTCTAATCTCTCTGCAGATATAGAAAAGGACATGCCACAAGATGGCACAATTTGCTTTAAGGTCACAGCTCATTCAAGGCTGAATTGGGACTAGATCTAACGTTATCTTTTTCTCCTCTCTTCTGTCTTTCCTGCTTTTTATTCTCTCTCTTAACACAGTATTAGAATAAGTCTAACTTGCATCTGGATCTTAGTTCCAGCACCTATAATGGTAACCTTTGACAAATTACTTAACCTCTGTATCTTCACTGTCCTCACAGGTTAACTGAAATATTAATATGCACCTCCAAGTTTTGTTGTAAAGATTGAGTAAAATGTTGAATAACAACTACAAAAAGTTGAATAACAACAACAAAACCCTATAGCTAACATCATACTTAATGGTGAGAAACTCAGTTTTCTTGCTGTTAGGCACAAGGCAAGGATACTCTTCTCAGCACTCCTTTTCAACATCATGCTGAAAATCCTTGCTAATTCAATAAGCAAGAAAAGGAATAAAAGGTATACAGATTGGGAAGGAACACATAAAACTGTTTTTGTTCACAGATGACATCATTCATGTAGAAAATCCAGAACTGACCAAAAAAAATCTCCTAGAAATAATAAGCAATTACAGCAAAGTTGCAGGATACAAAGTTAATAGATGAAAGTCGGTTGTTTTTCTATGTTCCAACAATGAAAAGTGGAATTTGAAATAAAAAACACAATACCATTTACACTAGCAACCCCAAAAGTGAAATATTTGGGTATAAATCTATACAAAAACATCTAAGATCTATATGAGGAAAACCACAAAACTCTGAGGAAGAAAATCAGCTAAATAAATGGAAGGATAATCCATATTCATGGAGAGGAACACCTAATGTTGGCAAGATATCAGGCAATCACAATCACAATCTCAGCAAGTTATTTTATGGCTATTAATAAACTGATTCTGAATTTCATTTGGAGAGGCAAAAGACCCAGAATAGCCAATATGATACTGAAGAAAAACAAAGTTGAAAGATTGACATTACCTAACTTCAAGACTTCCTATAAGGCTATAGTAATCAACACAGTATGGTATTGGCAAGAGAATAGACAAATAAATCAATGGAGTAGAATAGAGAGCTAGAAATAGACCTCATAAATAAGTCAGCTCATGTTTACAAAGGAACGGAGGTGGTACAATGGATCAAAGATAATCTCTTCAACAAATGGTGCCGGAACAACTGGACATCCACAGCAGAAAAATGAATCTCACACCCTTTACAAAAATTAACTCAAAATGGATCACACACCTAAACGTACAATACAAAATTATAAAACTTTCAGAAGATTACACAGGAGAAAACCTAGATGACCTTGATATGGCAATGCTTTTTCAGACACAATGTGTAACACACAATTCATGAAAGAAATAATGGATAAGCTGACTTTATCCAAATTAAAAACTTCTGCTCTGCCAAAGTCACTATCAAGAGAAGAAGATAGACTGGGAGGAAATATTTACAATAGACACATCTAATAAAGGACTATTATCCAAAATATACAAAGGATCCTTAAAAATCAGTAAGAAATGGAGAAAGGGGAACCCTCCTACACTGCTGGTGGGAATGTAAATTAGTTCAACCATTGTGGAAAGCAGTATGGAGGTTCCTCAAAAAGCTCAAAATAGAAATACCATTTGACCCAGGAATTCCACTTCTAGGAATTTACCCTAAGAATGCAGCAGCCCAGTTTGAAAAAGACAGATGCACCCCTATGTTTATCGCAGCACTATTTACAATAGCCAAGAAATGGAAGCAACCTAAGTGTCCATCAGTAGATGAATGGATAAAGAAGATGTGGTACATATACACAATGGAATATTATTCAGCCATAAGAAGACGACAAATCCTACTATTTGCAACAACATGGATGGAGCTGGAGGGTATTATGCTCAGTGAAATAAGCCAGCCAGAGAAAGACAAGTACCAAATGATTTCACTTATATGTGGAGTATAAGAACAAAGAAAAAAACTGAAGGAACAAAACAGCAGCAGAATCACAGAACTCAAGAATGGACTAACAGTTACCAAAGGGAAAGGGACTGGGGAGGATGGGTGGGAAGGGAGGGTTAAGGAGGGGGGAAAGAAAGGGGGCATTATGAATAGCATGTATAATGTGGGGGGGCATGGGGAGGGCTGTGCAACACAGAGAAGACAAGTAGTGATTCTACAGCATCTTACTACACTGATGGGCAGTGACTGTAATAGGGTTTGGGAGGGGACTTGGTGAAGGGGGGAGTCTAGTAAACAATGTTCCTCATGTAATTGTAGATTAATGATACCAAAATTAAAAAAAAATAGAAAAAAAATCAATAAGAAAAAAAACAGTTAAAAAATGGGCTAAAGACTTTAATAGACACTTTATCAGAGAAGATCTATGGATGGCAAATAAAAGCATGGAAAGATGCTCTGCTCCACATCACACATCAGGGAAATTATAATGAAAAACCACTATATACATACTAGAATGGCCAATATCTGGAACACTGATAACACCAAAAGCTGACCAGCATGTGGAGCAATAAGAACCTTCACACATTGCTAATGGGAATGAAAAATGGTATAGCCATTTGGCAGTCTGGCAGTTTCTTACAAAACTAAACGTACTCTTACCATACGATCTAGCAATCACACTCCTTGGTATTTACCCAAAGGAGTAGAGAACTGATGTCCACACAAAAACCTGCATGTGGATGTTTATAACAGTTTTATTCATAATTGACAGAAGTTGCAAGCAACCAAGATATGCTTCAGTAGGTGAATGGATGAGTAAACTGTGGGACATCCAGACAATAGAATGCTATTCCTCACTGAAAAGAAATGAGCTATCAAGCTGTGAAATGACACGGAAGAACCTTACAGTCAAAGAAGCCAACCTGAGAAGGCTGCATACTATAGATTCCCACTCTGATTCTGGAAAAGGCAAAGCAATGGAAACAATAAAGGTCAGTAGTTGCCAAGGTTGGGGGACAGGAAGAGATGAATAGGCAAATAACAGAAAAATTTTAGGGCAATGAAAATACTCTGTATGATATTATAATGATGGATATGTGTCATTATACATTTTTCCAAACCCACTGAATATATACCACCAAAATTGAACCCTTAGGTAAACTATGGACTTTGGGTGATTGTAATGTGTCAATAGAAGTTCATCCTTGGTAAGAAATGTATCATTCTGGTGAGTAATATTGGTAACAGGGAAGGAGGTTATGTGGGAGCAGGGAGCATATGGGAAATCTTTGTACCTTCCTCTCAGTTTCATTGTAAACCTAAAGCTTCCCTAAAAAAATAGTCTTAAAGAAGTCAAACAAATAATGGCCTGGCACATAATAGAATATGTGTTGGCTCTTTTCTCTTTTTTTTTCCTCCTGTTTTTCTTTTTCCTTCCCTCTTTAAATTGTTAAGAACTTTGGATATTTTATTATGCCTTTGATTCCTTCTCTTGACTTTTGTGTCATTTCTCCCATCATTTAGTTTTCCTTTCTCCTCTGCCTCTTCATCCTTTTTTTCACCTTCGCCTTCTCCTTCTTTCTCTCTCATTTCTGTTTCTGCTTCTCATTTTCAAGCCATGTGGGCCATATACTTTGAGCTTAAAGTCCCATTAGCCAGTCCTATAATTTTCTCTTCCTTTATGTTCTCTTTTCCCACTCTCTCCTCTTTCCATTACTTATAAAATTATTTAACTTCCCTGGGCCTCAGTTTTTCCATCTGGAAAATGATAACAATTATAGATTGTTATAGCATCAAATGAATTTAGTAAAGTTCTTTGCTCAGTGCTTAATACAAAGACCTCCAAGATGTCACTAACTTTATTCTCATTTGACCTTCTGCAAGCCCAGTATGAAATATAAACCACTATAGAAGTGTTAGTTTATTTTTTGTCCTAAAGTATCATGGTGAAGTGGAAAGATGGCTTCAGGTTGAAAAGACCTGTCCCAGAAAAATCTCTGAATACTTCTGAGCCTCAATTTCCTTATCTGTAAAATGAATAATATATGCCTTTCTTTCCCTTGAGGTTTTTTCCTTCCCCAGGGATTAAAAGAGTCAATATGCAGGAAAGCATCACTTTAAAGTACATGTTGTAATCATGACAGACGGTGTCCTCACATTGTGGATGCAGTATACTTACAGGATTCAACGGGATAAAATTTTAAAAGCTGCTTGACCAATAATAAGCTCTCAACACATGTCACCTATTATTTCCTTTGCCTTTTCCACTGTTCTCTTGCTCTTCAAGAAAATGAGCGTTGACCTGCCCAGGTGATCTCTGCCGCTAAGCTTCTATTATTGATTATTGCCTCCCTCCTCTCTCCTCCTCCTTTCTTTTTCTTCTGTCTGGCCCTGCATCACAGCTTTCCTCTCGTCTCAGGCATCCCGCGCAGCCCGGATCTGTAGACCTCACGCAGCTCAGAGCCGGCGAACCGCACGCACGTGCCCGATACCAGGATTCGCTCTGCATTTAGCGTTTAGCGCTGGTCCAACAATAAAGCTTTATTGACACAAAGTAGAAAAAAAAAAAGGCCCCCGCTGGTCTTTCCTCAACAGCCAATCAGAGAGTAGAATGCCTGTTTCGCGTGCCGGCGCTCCGACGATCGGAAAGAGGAGGCGGGGCATGTCCGGGCGAAATCCGCCTCGTATGAGCGGAAGTACGGCCGGAAGCCAGCTATAGAGTTTAGTGGCCAGAGCGGCCCGGCGGGGAGGTGGCAGGAAAGCCTCGGAACAGCTGCCGGAGGTGACGGTGCCGCAGCCCCGCCCGGTGCACTGGAAGACGAAGCTTCCAGGTAGCGGCCCGCAGAGTGTGACCCAGGGTACGACGGGGCAGTCGTCGAGAGCCACGGTCCCTGGGCGGCCTCTTTAAGGGAGGGGGCGGGGCCACGTGGAAGGATCTTGAGGGTGAGGTCACGTGGTCGGGGACCCTAGCGGGGCACTAGTGGGGATTTGAGGGAGCCTCGTCGTTGGGGTGGACACCATGTGACGCTCCTACCACACTGCATTCTGTGCCTGCGGGTTCAGTGGAATGCACTTGGTGGGGTTTGGGATTAAGCCCAGAAAGTGGGGGAGGGAGGACGTGGCAACCCTGTCCCAGACAGGCTTCCGTCAAAGTGGCCAATTTGGGGATTCTTAGGTTCAAGTTTCAGGCAGCTTCATCTCTGATTCCTCATTGCAGAAGTGACTCAGTGCCTCTTAAGTCCAGCCCCTAGTCCCGTGTTTCCCAGTTTTCAGGGGACATTGTAGCTTCACATCCTCTTTCCTTGCAGCTCCACATCCTGAGCCCAGGTCCCCCAGCTCAGTGCAGCCATGAGTGCCGAAGTGAAGGTGACAGGGCAGAACCAGGAGCAATTTCTGCTCTTGGCAAAGTCAGCCAAGGGGGCAGCCCTGGCCACACTCATCCACCAAGTGCTGGAAGCCCCTGGTGTCTACGTGTTTGGGGAACTGCTGGATATGCCCAATGTTAGAGAGGTGGGTTCCTGGCCTGGATAGCCCACAGGGAAGCTTGGGGCCAAAGTTTGATTTGAGAATGGGTGGGCAGGCTCATTTTGCAATCCTGCAGCCATGCAGTACAACAACGATATAGCGATAATTAACTGGCAGCTTGCAAAAGTTTGAAAGTAAGCCTCTTAGTTTCCCTTTGTGGATGATCTGTAAAACCTGGTATTTTTCACTTTTAACCAGAAGAGAATGTGATTTTCAGAGTAGGAGACCTGATTCCAGCCTTGCTCCACCAGTGTAACAGCTTTTATCATATCACCTTGATCAGATCACTTTTGTTTTAGGGTCTCAGTTTTCTCTTTTGTAAATGGAGCTGATACTCACTGGTATTGTAGAAATCAGGAGTGAGATTATGGGAACCTGTAAAGTCTGGTACAAATGGAAGGAACTAACGTGAAATTGGCATGCCCTTTTCTTTCTGCTTTGCACCATGTGCAGCTTCACTTAAGTTAAATAAGATAGGTATCTTTTTCCCAGAGACATGTGTCAGGATGCCAGGAACACAGCCGAGACAACTGTTCACACAGAAGGAGAGTTAAGAGTTTAAAGTCTAGAGTGGGTGGGTCACCGAGATGTGTGATAGCAACTCAAGTCCTGAGATGCTATGACAATGATATGTAGGCAAACTATGAGTTAAGTTTTTGAGGGCCAGTGACTGAGTCCATGAATTAGGACTCTTGGGGTCATTCTGTGTTACAGGAGAAAACTGGCTGCCTTCTTTCGCTGCTTCCCTCTTAAGTGGAACTAAAGAGAGTCAGTCAAGGAGAAGGAAAAACATTTATTGGGTGCCTTTTTAGCATCCTGCTTGTCCTCTGGAAATGCCAGACGAGTACAAGGCACAGTGCTGATTACCCTTCTGAAATTTACATTCCAGTTGCAGAGACAAGATGAATGGATATACATGTATAAATAGTTTATTTAGAAAGTATTTGCTGAGAGAGCCAACTACATGCATAGCTCTGCTAGACTAAATGGGATGCCAGAGACTGAGTCTGTGTTCTGTTCAAAGGAAAGATGTTTTTAGGCAACAATGGTAGGCTGGGTTTGATTGATTAAGTGCTAGAATGAGTGATCAGTGAATAAGGATAAGGAGATCTGGGTGGGCTGCCTGGGTGAGGAAAGCCTACCAGGTGAGGCAGGTATGAGCAGAGGCCACCAACTGTAGTGCCTGCTGATGCCGTGTAGCTGTCAGAGGCAAGTGAGGCTGAGGCCTCCGTCTTCAGTGAACTGGAGAGTACAGCAGACTGCCCAAAGATACTCCCATTCAGAAATACTAAGAGCACTCCAGGGACAAAGCAACACAGTTTGCAATGCCTGGTGCATGTGTATGTGTATGTGTGTGTGTGTGTGTGTGTGTGTGTGATGCATGCATGCGTGTGTGTGTATGTGGGGTATTGAACACCCTGAGTGTTTTCATCCTCTGAATTTAGGATAGGAATTGGAGGCATATGGAGGAAGAGGGCATTGCGAATTGAGGGAATAGTGTAAATGAAGGCCTAGAGGTGGAAATGAGGCCTTCCTGTGAGGAGAGATCAGGGAGGCAGAGAGTTCCTTTTGGAGAGCTGGGAGAACTACTGTTGGAGGGGAAAGATGGGGCCAAAAAGTGGAGTTCAAAACACAGTAAGGTTGGGTGGGTAGAGAGAGGCCCTTCCTGTCACCTCGTCTCTGCTATTCTTACAGCTGGCTGAGAGTGACTTTGCTTCCACATTCCGACTGCTCACTGTGTTTGCCTACGGGACGTACGCTGACTACTTAGGTAACCAGAGGGGCTGGAATTCTGGTAGTGGAAGGGGGAGAAAGGCAATATCTGGAGGGACTTAGAAGGAATTCCTGGATGCCCTCCTTAGATCCCTTAGGTACGTGGGTCAGGGTCAAGACCTGAATTGACATGGAAAACTCAAAAAAAAAAGGCAAAGGTGGGTTGGGGCTCAGTCTGCCCATGAAAGTGAAATCAGGATTTCCTACATTTCGTCCTTTTTTCCTAGCTGAAGCCCGAAATCTTCCCCCACTCACAGAGGCTCAGAAGAATAAACTTCGACACCTATCAGTTGTCACCCTGGCTGCCAAAGTCAAGGTGAGTGACAGTCCCCCCAGTCCTGAGCCAAAGAGCATCCTTTTGTCTGTCCCTTTGCAAGGGCACTTGCTCTTTGACCACACTGTTGCTGCTTTCTGCCTTCCCACCCCGTGCCTCCAAGGTCTGTATCTAACTGGCATTACCCACAGCCTTCACAGCTGAACATCATTCTCTTAGTTTTCTGTATTGTTTTTATTTTTCAAACAACTTGAGTTCTAAGTAAAACATCTTTTGTGTTTTGGGTCAGAGTAGCCACTAGATGCTGTTCTGAGTTGCCCAGCAGTCCCTACTTCCCAGTCTATCAGATCCCATGCAGATAGTCTCAGCGGTCAGAGTTGGGAACAAGGCTCGCTCTCCTGGTCAAGTGGTACGCATCTGTTTGCTAAAACAAGAAACCTATAACCCAGGATTATCTCTGTATTTCCTATTTGCTTCAGATTTTTGTTAAATATCCCTCTCTCGCCCATCTGTACTTTACTACTTGACTCATTCTCATGAATTTCTGTAAATCAGGCTCTCTCTGGTGAGATGCCTCTCTGGAAGTTTTAATGGTAAACAGTAACTGCAGACCTTTCCAGACCACAGATTCTCACTGTGTCAGGCTGATCTTGACCAGGGTCTGTGTGCCATCCTGAGTTGTGGCCAGAGGATTGACATCCAGGCAGATGTCACTTTGCCCCTCTGTGGTGTGGGAGGTAAGGGTGGGAGGGGAGCATGAGTCTTATATTTTAAGATCGTCCTTTGCATGATGTTATTTGGCAGGGGGAATATTTTTATTTATTTCACCTTAGAACCAGCCTTTGAGATGAAATGATTTGAGAGTAGGTTTGAGGGTGGGCAGGTGAGCCTAGGCAGCATGGGGAAAGCAGGAAGAGTCTCGGAAGCCCTTCTCTGCTGTGGACCGTCACAAATCCCAGCCTGACCTCTCCGGGCCCCAGTGTATCCCATATGCGGTGTTGCTGGAAGCCCTTGCTCTGCGGAACGTGCGGCAGCTGGAAGACCTCGTCATTGAGGCTGTGTATGCCGACGTGCTTCGCGGCTCCCTGGACCAGCGCAATCAGCGGCTGGAGGTTGACTACAGCATTGGACGTGACATCCAGCGCCAGGACCTCAGTGCCATTGCCCGAACACTGCAGGAGTGGTGAGACCTGCGTCCTGCCACTGTCCCTCCTCTTCTCACCCCAAGAAAGGGAGAGGTGCTTTGAAGCAGGAAGAGCAGCCCTGGCCTGCTGGCCTGGCCTGGCCTGGATGCAGAGGGGGGAATCCAAGAGGGTGCAGGGAATTGAGCTTGTTCCTCCAAAAGCTAGGGAGGAAAGAAAGGAGTGGAGGAGGGCCTGGAAGGCAAGAGGCAGGAGGTGGTGCCCTTGATGTAGTGGTTAGGGGAGGGAGGGGCGTGGTACTCCTGAGGATCCTCCCTAGGAGGTTGGTCACCTATCTTAGGCTGCATTCATCCCATTGGTCTGTACCCAACACTGTCCACAGGTCATGGTCCTCTTCTACTTCTGCTTTTCTCTTTGTTTTCTTATTAATTTTAGTTCAGTAACACACTTTTTTTTTGTCATTAGCATGTCTTGCCCCATTTTGTTTGTAGTTCCTAGGGCCATCCTGCACATAACTCTAGCACCTTATACCTCTCTTATCCTTTCTGAGGGTCCTTCTGGCTCCTGGGAATATTTTTGCAGGTAGTTTCCAGGTACCCTGGTGAGGGATCCTAACTCAGGCAAGGGTTTGGATGCCAGGATCTAGGGTTCTTTCTGAGTCTGTGACTACAGCCCTCTCTGACTCTCCTCTTGCCGGATTCCCACAGGTGTGTGGGCTGTGAGGTTGTGCTGTCAGGCATTGAGGAGCAGGTGAGCCGTGCCAACCAGCACAAGGAGCAGCAGCTGGGCCTGAAGCAGCAGATTGAGAGTGAGGTGAGCAGGTAGGGGAGCACGGCAGACCCCAGCTCCTCCAGGCTGGGCCAGTTTGGACAGTGTCTGTAGCAGACAAGGTGGGCAGGGACTGTCAGGTTCTGGAACCTTGTTATCCTCCATTCCTTTCATTCTGGTAGGTTGCCAACCTTAAAAAAACTATTAAAGTTACAACAGCAGCAGCTGCAGCAGCCACTTCCCAGGACCCTGAGCAACACTTGACTGAGCTGAGGGAACCAGCTCCTGGCACCAACCAGCGCCAGCCCAGCAAGAAAGCCTCCAAGGGCAAAGGGTGAGCCAGTGTGGCAGGAACTGCTCGCTTCTGGGGTGCCCTGCTTTCCCTTCAGAGACCTGGCTGCCCTCACTTCCTGTAGTCATGTGCATGGTGGTGGGAACCGGGGGGCCTTCAGGGGTTAGAGAGTTCCCTGCAGCCTCTCTCTCTCTCTTCTCCTTGCCAGACTCCGAGGGAGTGCGAAGATTTGGTCCAAGTCGAATTGAAGGGACTGTTGTTCCTTCCCTGGGGATGTGGGGTCCCAGCTGCCCGCCTGTCCTCAGAGAGCCTTCTTGTGCCCCTGGCCAGCTGATAATCCTAGGTCATGACCCTTCACCTCCCTTCCTCTCTCCCCCACCCCCAAGCATAGATCATACCTTCTCTAGTGAGGAGGTGAGTACAAGTCATGTTTTTGTTGGTACTTTTTGTTTTATGTGACTTTCTTTAGTGTCCCGTTGTCCATGCTCTCTCCCTTATTTCTTTAAGAGCCAGCATCTATCTATCTTTTTTGTGTGTGTGGCATTGGGTAGGTGGGGCTGCTGCCTGTCCAGCGTAACCCACACTGTTTGTTCTCCCACCCCATCCCTGCATGCCTAATCCCCTATTCCTGCCCCCTGCCCCCAACCTGCTTGGGCAGCATCTGAAGAGCCATAGGGCTCCCACCTTATTTCCACCCTGAGAGTTCTGGGAGCCAGTCTGCCGTTCTAGGAGTCACTGGACACTTTCATCCTAGAATCCGGTCACACTACAGCTGTTTCTTTCCAGCTTCCCTTGGGTTCTGGGAATGCTGCTGCTTCAATGACCCCAGAGCCTAAGAAGGGCAGCTGTTTCTTGAGATGTTGAGAGATGGTTCTTTCTTGGCCCTGGCTGTCTTGGAAAGCCTAATGGCAATCCTGGAAGGATTTATACTTCTTTTTGTGAGTTTGGTGGGGAAGGGAAGGGGATAGAGATTGTATTAAAAAAAAAAGTATATATACATATATCTATATATAATATGACACAGAAATAAATCTATGAGAAGTCTATCAGACATGCCCTGAACTGGGTATCTTCTGTCTTTTGATATTTGTGGATGAGAAGAAGGCTCATTCCCAATCCACTCTAGAACAAAGTGCTAGAAACAGAAGAGAACCATATATTATATGCTGAGTCCTGGCCTGGGAGCCAGGAGACCTGTTTGCTGGACTGTTTGACTTTGGACAGATTGCTCAGAATCTCAGCACTCATTCAGAAGCACTGGATACTTATTGAGCACCAATACATGGTAGGCACTGGAGACACAAAATGATGGTCACTGTCCTACTCCCAAGAACAAGAGCCTTAGCCTCTTTCCTTCCACCTTATAGAATTGTAAGGGGAAGAGTTGATAATAAACTTCAGTTTTGCATCATAACCATACAGAACTCTCAGACTTGCAGTAGGAAACATCAGCCAGGCTCCTGTCCTCTGTCCAGGGCAGAGCTTTCCAAGCAGTATGCAGGGAGGATCAGTCTCCGTGGCCTAGTGTACTCCTTTGTACTCCCTAGGATTGGGAAACTAGTGTAAAGAAAGGACAATTGGTCCCCCATCATTGGCAGGGGAAGTGGCTGCCTCCTGGGTGTCCCATTGTTGACTGGACTGCTCTCCAAACTTGTGCTGTTCTCTAGGTGGACTTTTAGGACAGACCACTCTTTAATGGTCCTAAGGTATCAATCATAGAACAAAAAAGTGGGGATCCTGAGTTTTTCATTAGAAGTGGGCTGAGTAAGCCTATTGTCTTGAGGGGCAGTGGTGACTTAATGGGACCAGTCTAGTGAACCTCATTTCAAGGGTTGACACTCTTAGCCTCTTATTTTAGCTTTGCCTTGGACAAACTTTTGAGCCTGTTGCACCTTGATTTTTTTCAGTCTACCTCAAATAAAAACCCTTCTTCCTCCTACACCTTTCAATATGTAGAAATTGCCAATTCCTGGTACTTTGAACCTGTTCTTTCTCCCTCTGCCATGCCCCGTTTTTCTCTTGAACTTAGTATCTCATTTTCCTGTAAGCTGGTTCCAGCTAGTGCCTCCGTAACTTCCCTGACCTCTCTAGTTCCAGCCTTCGCTGGGTGGCTCTAAAGTCTAATGTGTTCTGGGCTGGGAATGGCTGGCTTAACATCCACAGGTAGGGGTCTATTCACAGTCCCAAGGACATACAAATACAGTTTGTCACTGATTTACAAAGACAGAACTCTTGGCTACCAAGACATGGAGAAGGGGAGGCAGATTGTTTGTGAATTCAGGTTTTTACCATGAAGTTTAGTTCAGAATTTAGGGATTCCAATTATAACCAAGCCCATCACCAGGAAAACCTTTCCAACCAAGAATCTCATCGCTTGTATATTCACACACTGGTCCCTAGTGAACAGCTGTCTCAGACGATCTTAAGCCTGGACCACTATGGTAAGAGAACTTGCCTTTGTGAGAATCTAGAGTCCATGCACACAGAACAGATGACACTTAAAAGATTAAGGCAAAGTCTCTGAAGCTGAAAACAGCAATTGGACTGGTGCACATCTTAGTGCACAAGAAAAGCAAAGACAATGTCCACAGTCACTATTTCATGAAATCCCATGCAGAGAGAAAATTCTCTCCTTAGATGCATCTTCCAATGTGGAAGGATGGGCAGAGGGCAACTTAAGGCAATGCATTAGTTATCTATTGCTGTATAACAAATTACCCTGAAATTAGTGGCTTAAAACAACACATTTATTATCTCAGTTTCTATGGTTTGGGAATCTGGGCACACTGAGATGAGTTTTCTCTCACACAAGGCTCTGTTCAGAATGTCAGCTAGAGCCACAGCAGCTCAAGGTTCCAGTGAGAAGGACTTGCTTTTCCAAGTGCACTCTAATTCTCACCAGGATTCACTGCCTTGCAGGTGGCTTGACTGAGGACCTCATTCCCTGGCTGACTGTTGGTCAAAGGCTGCCCAGGTAGCCGTCTCCATCACAGCACAAGCCAGAGAGACCACATCACAAGGCAAAATCAGTCTTGTAACCTAATCACGGAAGAGACATCCCATCACATTTACCAGTCACCAGGTCCAGCCTATCAGAAGGCAGGGCTCATTGGAAACTCAGAAGTTTCCTGCCCCAGGCTGTGTTTCTATGGGCTGCCAGCATCAGAATAATCAGGGAGCTTTTGAAAATGCATATTCCTGGACCCTAATCCCACCCTAGTTTCTCCTGAATTAGAATCTCCAGGAAGGAGGCTGGAAATGTGCCTTCACTGCCCTCACTGACTCGCCTCTGAGTGTGAGGTCCTATTTATGTGAGTAGGCTTGCCCAGGTTAGTGTCAACATGGATCAGCTGGAAAGGCTTCTACTGTATGGCCTTGGAGGTCAGGCAAGGGAGAGAAGGATGAGCAAAGGTGACAGGACTTGTCCTGTCCTTTGAGGTTCTTAAATATATGGTTGTAGTTACAAGTGTGATAAGTGCTAAGAAGTGTAGGATAACATGGAAGCACTTAACCCATCTGCATCTTGCCTGGGGTTGGGAAAGCCTCCAATGACGTGACCTTTAAACAAGTAGCCTATGTACCAGTTGGCCTGATAAAGGGGAGGGAGGATGAGCATTTTAAGTGAAAAAAATAGTGGGATGAAGGCCTGAAGGCAGAAAGGTTTCATCCTGTGACCTATAGCCTCTGCCTTAATATGAAATGCATAATTTGGGGGATGGGGCAGGTAATACAGTCCTGTACTTTTACTTACTGTTCATTTGTCCATTCAATCAGTAAATATATCTTATCAGAAAAAAATATAAAGTAATATAAACCATAATGTATATGTTGTACTTCTAAGCATCGGGGTTTTGGGTGATTTTTGTCTTTTTACCATTTCTGTTTTCCAGTCTTTTTATAATAGATGCTAATAATAAAGCTAATACTTATTAAGTGCTTACTATCGTTAAGCACTATTCTAAGTACTTTATATATATAAATTTAATCCAAACAACCAGCTTCCAAGATTTATACCATTATTATTGGCTTCTAACAACAAATGAGGTACAAGAAGGTTATGTAACTTGCTCAGGGTCACACAGATTGTAGGTGGAGTAGGCACACCGCGCTCATCTTCCTGGACAGAATGCATGGAGCAGCTATCTGAGATCACCAGAGAAGTAAGTGGTAGCAGGGAAAAACAAACCAGAATTCAAAGTTCCACTAAACCAGTGGTGAGTTTACCATCCCCCCCCTTCCAGTATTGCCAGAATGGACTCAAAGGCAGCCCAAAACCTAAAAGTGTACGTCAGGTGTAAACAGAAAGAGCTCCTCTTAGAGCCCTCAATTGCAGGTTCAAGGAGCAAGAAAGGGACTCCTAAGGGTCAGAAAGTGGGGAAGATCTGTTGTTTTTCTTTTTACCCCTCATCCACCTCCAGCCCATGCAATACCATGGTGTTGATAGCTACAGCAGCATGACAGCATGAGTGCCTGGGAAGGCACTGAAAGCGCTGAGGGAGGAAAACTCTGACCACAGAAACTATGATCCCAAAAATGTAAGGCAAATGCCTATGCGTTTTTTCTTTATTCTCCTGATGCTTGGCCCAGACACACAGTGAGATGCCCAGCAGAGCAGAGAAACTAAAACCTCAACTTCCTGGACAGAGAATTGGGAAGGGAAGCACCAGAGAATCAGAAAGTGTCAGGTAGATCACAGAGAGGACTGAAATCAAGAGAACAGTACTGTAGAGATGTGTGTGAACTGAGCTCACCTCTGAGCTGCACAAGCACTGATCTGACCATAAACATCTTACCAAAGCTTTGTGAACTGAGCTACTAGGTGGACCACTGTCCAGGCCTGACTGGCCACTTGGTGGCATACACACACAGCACTGATCCAAATAGCATCACAAACTGAAAATTAAACTGACATTGGAACCACAATGCAAAGAACGCAAATTGCTGCTTGAACCTAACCTGGTCAGTTGCCTCCTAAGATAAAAAAACATTCCCTGTAGGATTTTAATAAGACCCAGAGTTTCTATATTCAAAATATCCAGGATATAATCTTAAAATGTTCAGCAAATAAACAGCTCTCAAGAGAAGACAACCAATCCCTAGATGACAGAGCTGTTGCAATTTTAAAACAAAGACTTCAAAGCACGATAACCATACTGGAAAAAGAAAGGGAGAACAATCTTGGAACAAATGGGATAATACAAAGTTTCAGCAAAGAAACAAAATATAAGGAAGAAACAAATGGGAATTTTATTAACTGAAAAATAGGAATAACCAAAATAAAATACTGGGTAGGTTTCATAGCATAATGGAGAAGTAAGGGAGTGAGTTTGAAGATAGATCAATATAAATTAATGTAATCCAAATAACAGACAAAAAAAGATATAAAAAATTTTAGAAGACCACAGCTTCAGGAACCTGTGGGAAAATATCAGAAGGTCTAATGTTTGTGCCTACAGCAAGCAGTCCGAGAAGATGAAGAGAAAAACATAGAAAAAAATTAGAAGAAATCATAGCTAACAATACCCCAAATGTGGCAAAAGATAAACATGGATTCAAGAAACTTGGTGAACAGCAAACAGGAGATACTCAAAGCAGTCCATGCCCACAAAACCATAATCAAAAGGCTGAAAATCAAAGGCAAAGACAAATAGGCTAACAATACCCAGACAACATGTATTTCATAGGGGAACAATGACTCAGAGGACTGCAGATTTCTCATCAGAAATTATGGAAGCCAGAGGAAACTGGAACAACACTTGATGTGATGAAAGAAAATTAACAGGAAAGATGGTGGTGTGAGAGGTGAGGCAGAGGCTTCCTCCCAAAACTGTATATAATACAAAAATATAATTAATATGACTAATCCTGAAAGAGCAATGGGAAAGAGGGCTGCAACAAACAGCATCTCCTGATGCTTGGCCCAGACAAATAGTGAGATGCCCAGCATGGGCACACACATGGAGAAAAGAATAAATCTCACAAAACAGGGTAATGTACCAAAGCCATAGCCCAGTGAGATCCAAGCTCTTCCCACACCCCAGCTCACAGGTGGGAGGAGAAAC